TCTCAAGAATACTCCACAACCCTAGCGTCTTACAAGTGTAAAATATTCCATAGTGCCATGAAGGCAAGTTGTTTTTAATAAAATTGCAAAATAAAGTCTGTCATATTATTATGAGCAGAGTATCTTTTATCAGGAAATAATAATTTACAAGTCGTTAATTTAAGCTATTGGAAAAACTTAGAATACTTTCTAATATTCCATTACACTACTCTGGACACTGCAGCCAAACTTGTAAAAATGTCTGATAGAGTTTTGGGCAGTGGATTACAAAAGCCCTGCCTTGTTCTGAACTCCTATAGAATTCATGGCTTTTGCCAAGAGAATCAGAGTCATGTCAAACTCCATCTGGCCCTTGTTGTTTTTATGATAAAAGACTTTCTCTCTTCTGGTCTTTTTCTCTTGTTTGATTCTGCAGCATAAAGTCAAATGACTGTAGTTGTGAGATCACCTTCATTTCCACCACAGACACTGATGTCATAAATGAATGGCTTCCTTGCAAGTACAAGGCCTGAACCAAAACCTACTGAAGTAAATGGCAAAATTCACTGACTCCATGGGGGCTTTGGATCGAGTCCTTAAACAGGAGGAGGTAGTCGTGGTGGTGGTTGTGAGAGAAAACATACTTGGACACAAAAATTCAGTGATCGTGAGATATGTGGGGAGTTACTCTTAAAAGGGCCAAATCCTTGTCTCTGTGCATCACCTGAGAACACAGGAGCTACGTCTACATTGGCATGATCTTGCGCAAAACCTCTTTTGTGGAAGAGTTCTTGTGCAAAAACTCTTCCAGAAGAGAGCATGCATGTGCTTTTGTGCAAGATCGTGCCAATGTAGACACAGTCAGGCTGTGTGCAGGGGATGTTGGCAGCTTGGGAAGAAGACAACATTCTCCTCAAAACCATAGTGGTGCAAATCCACGTGCCTCCCCATGGCTAGTATGCCCTGAGTGACAAGAGGGATGGACAGAAGAATGTGCTGTGGCAGATTGACAGTGCCAGTCCCTTTTCAGAAAAGTCCCCTTTGCATCAAGGTGCAGTTCACATAGTCTCTGTGCAAACTCTGGAAATGTATCTTCCTCCTCTTCCCTGCCCAGTAGGATCACACCAATTTCATTTACTGCCCCTCACTCCACAGTATGAGATAAGAGGATTTATTATTTGTATTGCATTAGTGCCTAGAGGACCTAACAGAGTGTAGGGCCCCTTTGTGCTAGGCCCTGTACACTCTTATAATGAAAGCCAGTTTGCCATAAAGAGCTTTACAATCTAACCAGCTAGGATAGACACAGGGTGGAAGAGGAACCTTTAGTACAGAGGGAAGTGACTTGCCCACATTCATACAATAGGTTGGGGGCAGAGCTGGGAATAGGAGCCAGGTCTCCTAACTCCCAGTTCAGTACTCAAGTCAGAAGAATCTTTTTTTTTAAATTCTCTGTAAATGTCCACTTTCAACTGTGGAAAAATTTATGATACCATCAATGCTATGGTCTGCCTTCTAAAAGTGTTTCTGGAACAGTGAACATAAGATGCATCTTGGAAGAGTTCTGATTCCTTCAACCTTAAAGTCTGTTTATTATTTGTCAATTATGTTTTTATTTACATCTCTGGCCTGGCTAGAAGTTTGTTTCAGAAGCTGTGTCCAGACTCAAGGGTTTTTTCGAAAAAAGAAGCCTTTTTTCGAAAAAACTTCACTTGCCTCTAGACTACAGCCGCGTTCTTTCAAAATTAAATCAAAAGAATGCGGCTTTTCTTTCGACAGCGGAAAACCTCATTTCACGAGGAAGAACGCCTTTTTTCGAAAGTGCTCTTTCGAGAAAAGGCGTTCTTGAATGCAAACAGGGCTTTTTCGAAAGAGAGCATCCAGACTGCCTGGGTGCTCTTTCGAAAAAGCGGCTTGCTTTTTCGAAAGTACTGCTTGCCGTCTAGACGCTCTTTTTCGAAAGAGGCTTGCAGTCTAGACGTAGCCAGAGTGAATGTTCATGAAGCTGGGTTGGAGTTTTTAAAAAAAGACAAATCAAATAACCCTTGCATGTGTTCCACGAGAGATCTAGTGGGATCATTGTGATTGTGTTTCATTAATGCTAAATGGTCAATTCTAGGAGTATTACAGATTTACATTTCATGAAATACTGTGTGTGAAGCCAGAGAGAGGGAGACTGAAAAGGTAAATCCAGTGACAAATTAATATTTATGATAAAGGACAAGATAAAGTATTTAAAATAAAACATTTTTGTGTGCTAAAAATAGTGCATAACCCCAGTAGTGAAATAAAATTATTCTGCCGATTTAACAAACATTATCTCAAGACTTTAAAAATTGATGTAGTCTCATTCTTGGATATTTCTAGTCACTTCATTTAACTGAGCAGCAAATGTCGTTTGTCCTTTTGTTCCAATTAAATGTAATCTCCTGAAATTGAAAGAGGAAGAAAAAGGAAGTAATTTTAGAAAACAGGACTCTACACGGAATACATTTTTTAAAAAGGATTTAACATTCTGTATAAGCCATTCGGTCCTTTATCTATCTAGCAGGCAAAATTCTTACTGCAATCACTTAGGGCACATCTATACTGCAGACCAATAGTTCAATTAAGATATGCAACTTCAGCTACGTCAGTTGCATAGCTGAAGTCGAAATAGCTTACTTCGGCTTTTGGTGCTGTCTACACAGCAGGAAGTTGAAGGAAGAAAACTTTCTTTGACTCCCCATATTCCTTGTGAAAAGAGGGTTACAGGAGTCAGAGTAAGAAGTCCTCCAGCTCGACATTATTTCGAAGTAATGGCTTGCTTTATTGACATGCCTTTTTGTTATTTCAAAATAACGTCAGGTATTCCAAAATAACACTGCTGTGTAGACGTACCCTTAGAAAATAAGAGTATTTTCCAGCAGCTCAGAGTGTGATGGTGCTTTTTTACTAAACAGTGATAATTCAGCTATGTACTGAGATTAACATATTCCTACTACAGCATACAAAATATTCACTAGGTGGAGCTCTAATGTACCAGGTAATCTCTCTTGGGACCTGCATAGAAGCAAAGTTCAATGTACCCATGGGAGGACGTCAGCAAAGAACTCACAAGTGCATTTCAAAATGAATTCACACAAAAATAAGGGATTGTGATAACAAAAATAAAACCAACCAACCCACCAAACAGTCCAAAACCAAAATTTCCAAAGCACAGTATAAACATTTAGAAATCAAACAGATTTATGGGGTGGCTTCTTGAACTAATCACTAGCAATTTGACAGTAGCTCATTTCTTCCGTAAGGAAAAAGCCAGTTTCAGTAGAAAGAAATGATTCTTCATTTCATTAGTACATATAAGGCACCACTAAGTGACAAGGATAGATTTTCCTTTATTTCCTTCATAAGGCTTTAAAATATTGATGTTACTCTTATGAGCAAGTACATAGCACCAAAAACTAATGCATATAATTGGAGAGAATTTGATAAAAAGGAGGCATATTAGATTATCAAAGGACAGATTCCGAACATAGTGCAAGTCAGTTTTATGTGTCTCCACTTTGGTGATTTTAAGTAATGAAAACTAAGCCTACAGTTGTCAGTGTTTCGCTGGGGAGATACTGTAAAACCATTGATATATAGTCAGCATGAACAAGGTATATCTTTAAAGCATTTCATGGTCTCGCTTTTAAAAAGTAATATGTATGGTTCGAAGTTTACATTTTCCAGATTACTCTTTTCCCAAAGAAAGCTGTTCTCCATGTCTGCTTTTGGGGCAAAATATTTCTCAGAGGAGAGAGAATGAAGCTGATATGACCTAAACACAATGTATCCAGCTACATCAATGTTTTTTGCTGGGGGAGGGCGGGCGACCGGGGGAAGAGACTGGAGGAAGGCGAATGTTTTCTACTGTATGGAAATCGTCCGGAGTGTAGAATATAACACGCAAACGGCGTCTGCAACCATGAGAGGATTTGAGAGCGGGTGTTACCTGCCTTAATAGACAAGTGACAGTTTCCCTCTGCGTGAAACGATCGCTTCTGAATCACTGGTGTGTGACACTTAGTTTGTACAACAACAGTGGTAAGAAAATTCTAGCCGTTGCGTTGGGATGATTAAACAAGTTGAGATCAATTTCCTCGCTATTCTGTCTTGTTGTACTAAAGCCCTAGAATTCTGTTAAAATGCCATGGAAATGTAGTGGCTGGTAATGACCCGAGGCAGTGGAAAAGACAACACGATGAGGCTGGGGAAGGCAAAGGGGACAAAAAAAAGTTTTCTTTTCGTCTGAGCCCCGGAAGGGAGGGGGGGGGAGAAATCCCTCTTATTGGTTGTCAAGGAGATCTGCTGTTGGGTTTGCTGGACTGTCTGTCTTCAAAGCCTCCTGCCTTTACTTTGAGAGGAGCCATTTCTTTGCAAGGCAGGCAGCCACTGAACCCCTCAGAGAGGGCAGGGAAGAACAAGAACAGTGAAGGCTCCTTAAGGACTTGAGACCTAAGCAGGACTCTTAGCAGATGTGATGTGGGAAGCTTTCTACAGTAGAAAAGGGCTGGGGGCAGGAGAAGAGCGTGGAATGTTATTGCACCACGAAAATCTCCCCCCTCTCCCGCACACACACACACACACACACACACACACTAAATATAAGTGTAAAGGGGCCAAATTGACCCTGGCAGATTTCGAACCTTGCCACCGCGTGTGCCGGGTGTTTAGTGCTGAAAAACGACTCGTGGCAATGGAAGCAGCCACACACCCAGAGCCAGCCTCATCCTGTGTGAGTTACCTGCGGGGAGGAATGCGAGGTACCAAGTACGGGGGGGGGGGCAGGGCAGGGTTGAGGGAGTAGGGGAGCAAAGGAAGACAAATCTCTCCCAAAAGGCGCTGGGAAGCGTTCAACTCCCTCCCTCTGCCTTCCCCACTGTCCCCTCCCCTCTCTCCAGGGCCAGAGGAGGGATTGGCAAGTCCTGTCTGTCTGTCCCGCCCACCCTGCGGGTCCCTCTGCGAATCAGCGGGATGCTGTCAGCGCGTCAGTTTCGCTGGCTCCCCTCTGCCAGTCCCGAGCGCGTCTCTTATCAAAGGCACACACTAGCGGCATTGAGTCATAGCATTATCATGGGGACTGTTTGCTTTTCGGGGCACTTCTGTTTGGTCTTCGCGCTCTTATCTACTGGCAGGTTTGCGGGAGGCAACGGGGTCCCAGGTAAGCGAGATCTTTCGCCTGCTCGTTTTTTAGGCTCGGGCTGTGGAAGGCAATTGAGGATGAAGGGATTGCATTTCTTCCCCCTCCCCTCCTATTGCTATAAAGGTATGGGGAGGAAGGGAGGAATGAGACCGATTTTGATTTTTTTCCTGCTAATATAGTGAAGGGCTTGAAAAGTTGCTTTGAGGAGGAATCGTCTTCTGTGGTTAATGATGCTCTTATATTTAAAGAGACATTTTGGAAGGGTTTTTTTAGGTGCTTGTGAAACAGATAACTGTTGCAAGTGAATCTGTATTCTGTGCAAGGTTAGATACTATATATTTTAAAACTTTCCGTGTCTTCCCATTAACTAACCCAAAGACCTGATAGTACCCTCCACTTGTCTTGTACCTTTTAAATAACGCCCCCTCTTCTAAAATATGAACTTTGCTAAGCTGTAAAATCTCTGCATAGAAACGCTGTAACCCAATGGGAGGGTTATCTGATTTGTTGTTGAAGTTTGATTTTTTTTTTTTTTTAAAAACTTGAGATGGAATTTTTTTAAATCACTTCTTCCAAAATGTAAGAAGGTTGATTATGCAAAAAGTACCATGCCAGGGTAGAAATTGTTGTAACCCAAGAAAGACGGCGTGAACTTTGTAGCTGGGGGAAAGCTCATATTTGGTTTTGCCCTTTTCATTTGACTCATTGGCATTCACGCCTGACTCCCAGGCATCCTCTGGTTGCTGCGAAATGTCCCCCTTGGCTCAATGCAGTTTGAATTTTTGACGGCATTATAAAGAGCCCAGCTGTCACTTTTGCTGATCTTGACGGGAAATGGGTGCCAGTTTAATGAGTCAAAAATATGAAGCAAGGCATTTTTAAAAAGCCCACCCTTCCCTTCTTTTTATGCTTGACTGAATCTGTGTCTGATCTGAGGAACACCCTCAGCCCCCCTACCTCCCTAAGCGAATTCACGTAAATCACAGCTAGATCTGAACTGGCTCAGCAGCTAAAATAAACGAAAGGAAAAGAAAGAAGGAATCCGACTGCAGCAGCCCTGCGTTTCTCAAGGAGGCACAACACGCCGCGTTCGAGAGGGGGAAAAACTTTTTTTTTTGACTACTCCTTTTAAAAATAATCAAGAGTCCTTGTTGTTTGCTTGTTCAGATTCTTAAAGGAAAGCGAAGGTGCGCCCTGAAAGCAGCTCTGTCCTTTATTCCCCCTCTTTGCAAAGTTCTCGGATGTGTGCATTGCCACAATATCTGATTATTCGCCTCCCTCCAAATAGCCCCTCCTGTCCCCGGTGACTTTGAAGGATCCTTGTTTCATCACTGGAGATGGCTGAGTGAGCATTTCTGAAACAATTAGCGTTAGGATTTCAAGCTAACAATGCCACTGTTTTCACTTTACTGCACCTTTTCTGAGGATCTGTTAATCTAATTGGCATGAAACAAACTGCACATGGATGTCACTGGATTTCTTCTTTCCTCTGCTCCCCCCCCCCTTTATAAGCATAAATCCAAGCTTCACTTTATCCTACTGGGTTGTTACTCAAATAATAAAATACCACTCCTGATCCAAGAGCTCTGTGGTGGTGTGTCTAGGTAGGGAGAGCCAGATGTGCCTACTGCATTAAATTGTGAGGAAATCCATTTAAAGTGTACTCCTACTAAGGGGGATTTTTCTTATTGACATTAAGACAGCAATCAATAACCCATGGCCACTTTCTTCCTTTAGTGCTGAGGCTTTGGAGGGCCCGTCTCAGAAACTGACATTCTTCCGACGGGTCAGTTTCTTCCCGTTCTCCGCCCCGTCCCTCTTCCCCCCCCC